CAAGGTAAGTATCATTGGTGTCAGTGGGAGGAATAGTGCCCCATCATTTGTGTGACTAATACCAACAATGGGGCACTATTTCTCCCACTGACACCAATGATGGGGCACTATTTCCTCCCCCCCCGCACTGACACCAATGATGGGGCACTATTCCTCTCCCCCACTGACACCAACGATGGGGGCACTATTCCTCCCCCCACCGACACCAACGATGGGGCACTATTCTCCCCCCACCGACACCAACGATGGGGCACTATTCCCCCCCCTGACCCCAAAGATGGGGCACTATTTCCCCCCTCCACCACACTGACATCAATGATGGGGCACTATTCCCCCCACTGACACCAATGATGGGGGGCACCAATGATGGGGCACTATTCCCCCCCCCCACTGACACCAATGATGGGGCACTATTCCCCCCACTGACACCAATGATGGGGCACTATTCCCCCCACTGACACCAATGATGGGGCACTATTCCCCCCACTGACACCAATGATGGGGCACTATTCCCCCCACTGACACCAATGATGGGGCACTATTCCCCCACTGACCCCAATGATGGGGCACTATTCCCCGCACTGACCCCAATGATGGGGCACTATTCCCCCCCTGACCCCAATGATGGGGCACTATTCCCCCCACTGACCCCAATGATGGGGCACTATTCCCCCACTGACCCCAATGATGGGGCACTATTCCCCCCACTGACCCCAATGATGGGGCACTATTCCCCCCACTGACCCAATGATGGGGCACTATTCCCCCCACTGGGATGGGGCACTATTCCCCCCACTGACACCAATGATGGGGCACTATTCCCCCCCACTGACACCAATGATGGGGCACTATTCCCCCCACTGACACCAATGATGGGGCACTATTCCCCCCACTGACACCAATGATGGGGCACTATTCCCCCCACTGACACCAATGATGGGGCACTATTCCCCCCACTGACACCAATGATGGGGCACTATTCCCCCCACTGACACCAACGATGGGGCACTATTCCCCCCACTGACCCCAACGATGGGGCACTATTCAACACCAAGGATGGGGCACTATTCCCCCCACTGACACCAACGATGGGGCACTATTCCCCCCACTGACACCAACGATGGGGCACTATTCCCCCCACTGACACCAACGATGGGGCACTATTCCCCCCACTGACACCAACGATGGGGCACTATTCCCCCACTGACAAACGATGGGGCACTATTCCCCCCACTGACACCAACGATTGGGGCACTATTCCCCCCACTGACACCAATGATGGGGCACTATTCCCCCCACTGACACCAACGATGGGGCACTACTCCTTCCACTGACACCAACGATGTGGCACTATTCCTCCCACTGACACCAGTGATGGGGCACTAGTCCTCCCACTGCAAAATTACAGTTATGAAGTAGCAACGAAAATAATTTTATGGTTGGGGGTCACCACAACATGAGGAACTGTATTAAGGGGTCGCGGCATTAGAAAGGTTGAGAACCACTGGTATAAGCGGATGCCGTTTGGTTTACATGGTGCTCCGGCATCATTCCAACGAATGATGGACAAAACGCTAAGACCACATCGCCAATATGCAGCTGCCTATTTGGACGATGTCGTCATCCACAGTCCAGACTGGGAGTCTCATTTGTCCCGCTTGCAAGCGCGGTAGTAGATTCGCTGAGGGAAGCAGGTCTTACCGCCAACCCCAGAAAGTGTGCCATAGGCTTAGAGGAGGCCAAATATCTTGGCTACATCATTGGTCGAGGTCTCATTAGGCCTCAGATCAATAAAATTGAGGCAATTCAAAAGTGGCCCCAACCTGTAAATAAAAAGCAATTCCGGGCATTTCTTGGGATCACAGGATACTACAGGCGGTTTATCCCCAATTTTGCCACCATTGCAGCCCCACTGACAGATCTGACGAAAGGTAGGGGTCGGTCATGATTAAGTGGAATCCCGAGGCGGAGACCGCATTTCAAAGGCTGAAACAAGCTGTGTCCAACCTGTGCTTGTGACTCCAGATTTCACAACAGAGTTTGTGGTACAGACTGATGCCTCTGACGTGGGACTAGGTGCGGTACTGTCCCAAATCAGAGATGGGGAGGAGCACCCTGTGGTCTTCCTAAGTAGAAAGCTCAACAAACATGAGAGAAACTATGCCATTGTGGAGAAGGAATGTTTGGCCATCAAATGGGCCTTGGAGGCCCTGAAATATTACCTGTTAGGAAGACCGTTCAAGTTGGTTACTGATCATGCCCCGCTCAAATGGATGTGTGATAATAAGGAGAGAAAAACAGTCGAGTGACAAGGTGGTTTCTCGCGCTACAAGTGTTCAAATTCACAGTGGAACACAGAGCGGGGAAACTGCAAAGTAATGTAGATGCCCTTTCCCGGGTCCATTGCCTGGTTGGGACAGCTGCTCAGCCGCAGGGGCTTGAGCAGAGGGGGGGGGGGATATGTGACAGTATGAACGGCAAAGTGATGGATGGAAGATATGTGTCATCTTGCATGAGGTCATACTGTGAGGTGTAAGGTGGAGTCCACTCCGGGTTTTCGGGCCACAATGGCAGAGGTGGTTCCGGACCAGAGTTTGGGCTCCACTAATGACCACCAACAGGTGATACAAAAAGGGCAGGGCTGGAGCAAGGAGTTGCTCGTGGCCTGGGACTCAGAGAGGTATTCTGAGAGAGCTGTGTGTGTACACGATACCTACAAGAAAAGGTTTGCTTTTGTTTTGTTTTTGGTGACAGGGAGAAGCCCTTCACCTCTGAGAGAGGAAACGTCTCCTGTTTAGTTAGTGCCTGGATGGCGAGGGTTTATTTTGATGTTTTGTTTATTTTGATATTTTCTGCAAACCTTTTAAATAAAACTGACAACCAGTCAGATTTTGACGAAAGCCTGCTGTGCGGTCTACCTTTGTCCCAGGGAAGGAGATCCCCCCTCACCTGAGCTAACCTCATATATATATATATATATATTATATATATTCACTATGTATTCTTAACTCAAAGTCCCTTCTATTACTCCCAGCCTCCTCTTAACTCAAAGTCCCTTTTTTTTTGCTGCTGTGATCTGACTTCCTGTAGAGGGTGTCTACGTTCATTATCCATGGTCCCACTGTATGTAGGATTGTAGCCACCCTCTCTTTTCCATGATGGACTATGGGGTTTGTAGTGTGTATAATGTATTGCACATGACTGCAACTAACAATCACTGGTCACTCCAAACAAAATGTAAATGGGGGGGGGGGGGGGGGGGGGGGGGGTTCATATGTGGGTATGGATTATTTTTGCAGAATAAGGATATTGTTTAGTATCACTTTAAGTGCCATTTTGTCCATATGGATAATTTGGCAAAACAAAATTGCTGTATCATTACACAAACCTGAAAATTCCTAAAAGTCATTGTGCCTTTAAATAACTGCCACTCAGTAACACCCCCCCCCCCCCACCCCCAATGTGTATATTAAAATGTTACTAAACCCAGAACAGTAAAATCTGTCTGTATATGCAGTAAAGCATGTTTTTTATACTCATTGTGGAACCTAAGCGGTTAATCCTCTGCATTATGTAAAAAGGATGTTTGATCCTGTCTTCACTGATCCTTCCCTTCTTTTACTGTCCCCAATCCATCTCCTGATAGAACAGTGCCTTGGTGGCAAGCTGCACATGCTCTGTTTGGTGTGTATTGCTTAAGAATTTTTTTTTTTTGGGAGAGTGCATGTGATCAGCACAGGGCCAATCAGAGCTTTCCAGATGAAGGGGCAGGGGTTATGCAGCCTCATAGGACAAACAGGGGTGAATGAAAACTCCTCCTTCAAGCTTTAGCCACTGCTCTGCTGGACATTGAGAGAAGTCACAAGAGTGCTGCTGATGAGAAAATGTATTTAGCAGTTTATATTTACTAAATTAATTGCATTTCCATGTTCTGTGTACTGTGGAAGACCAGATATAGTGAGTGCAGGGTCCTGGATTTAGTAACACTTTAAATTTGATACATTTCTTTATGGGTAGTAGTGCCTCTTTAAATGAATTTTCAGTCTGTGTCGTACATTGCTCCTAGACAGTCTGAATTAATGTTACTTGGAGGATTACTGAAAACGTGTATTGTACTTAGCGGTTTAGCAGACTTCTCCCAGAACCACACACATGCACAAAGAAAAATAATGATTTTTCAGAGCCGTGTTCTAAGATAAATCATAATTGTCATGTAATACTTATTTTCAATCCTAACAAATTACCTTATATTTGAGAATCATTCTTCAAAATACACATTTCGGTTACCCTAACTGTTTAATTTCCTCTGTGAGTTGTATGTGATTTTGGGTTTAGGAAAAATGGACTTTGTTGCATGTAGTTAGCGAGGTCACAATTCCCCCTGGCTCGGAGAGGCCAAAAAAAACATAACATCTCCCAGCGATTCACCCCCTGCAGATCAGATGAAAGCAATTTTGTAATACTCGCCATTCAAAGAGTCTGATTATTCTTAAACATAAGTCATTTTCATGCATGTGAAAAACAGAACTAAATAAAGTTGTGACATTCAAAACTTTTCTATAAACAAAGTATTTTTTATTTTTTTTGCTACTTACTTTACAGCCTGAACTGCTATGTACAGCTAATCTGACTCTGTACCTGCCATTTATACACTTCTATAAATATGCTCAAACAGACTTTCTTGCAGCGCCAGGAAAAAGGATTTCAGCTAATTCAAGAAATTATGAGTCATCCTGGAACCATCCAGCCTCATTTTTTTTTTTTTTTTTTTTTTTTTTTTTTTTTTTTTTTTTTTTTTTACAAGAACGTCTAAAACAAACACAATCTTCTCACTGGGAGAAGAATTTCTGAAATGTGTGAATGATTACGAAATTGTCATAATTAATGTCAAGAAAAGACAAAAATTGAAAAAAAATTGGAGGTCACAATAATGAACATTTTAATGTGTTTAAAGTGGAGATAAATACCAACTGAATTACTGAACTTAGTTTATTATATTGTGTATTATAAATAATTGCAATTTTTTTTATATATATAAAATGATGTTTAACCTTTTCGCGACGGTGCCTCCCGGCCCTTTAAGAGTTTCAGAAGCTGGGAGGCGGTTTTTTAGGGTCACGTGACCGCCATAATTCATCAGTAATCCTCCAAGTAACAAGTCACATGATAGGAAAAGGTCCCGATCAAAAGGGGAGATCGGGAGCTTTCCGTGAGTTGCGGACATATGTGCTGGGAGCGAGCAGGGCTCACGCTCTCAGCACATATGTATTTTCTAATTGCATGCAAATATGCAGCCGCTCGGCGTCAAGGCCCAGACGCTGAGAGGCCGCATATTTGCGTGCGATCGGCTTCAAGGGGTTAAACCTTGTGTTCAGTACATATCAGTCCTGCTGATCTTCTGTAGTCTCTTTGCAGTACTTTTTGCCTACATGCACCCCATCAATGCTTGTGTTGCATTCCTCAGATCGGGTCTCCTGATGGAGACAATAGTAGGCCATGCCTGTGTAATGGGTGATAAAACGTCTGCTTTCCCCATTGGAGTACCATGTGACAGGGTGACAACCCAGGAGCATAACTGGGAGACAGGGACAGAGCATAGTGAAATGTATACCTTATGGCGCCGCTCCAAGCTATGGAAGGAAGGAAAAGGATCACATCAACAGCAAGTGAAAAGACGGGAGAATGAGTCTGAGCGATTCCAGTGTCAACCAATACAAGCGAAGGGATGGACGCTGCTCAACCAACCCCAGGAGTCCAATGTTGAAGAATGGCCTCAGCCGAAGCACTGGCCTCGCCTACTGATGCGTTTCACCCTGCCCACTGGGGCTTGGTCATAGAGGTCACAGAGCATGGCACTCTATAACAGGAAGTGTCTAAACAAGGACCCTCATAGCAGGATCACCAGGTATTACTTGAAAGTTGCAGATTTAAGAATATTGAAAAATACTTTTAATTTTACAGCATACAGGCAGTCCCTGGGTCACAAACAAGATAGGCTCAGTAGATTTGTTCTTAAGTTGGATTTGTTTGTAAGTTGGAACGGGTACATTTTTTTTAAGTGTAACTCCAGCCGAAATATTTTTCTTTTAATGTTTTTTTGGATAGTGTAGGGAAGGGTTAACCCCTCTGTAATGTCTGTTTTTCTGTGCCCTGTTCATCTCATTTTCTGTCCCTGTGACAATTGGATTTTGAAAATTTTGGGTTGTCATGGAAACAAGGATCAGTGGAGACACTTTTTTTCTCATGATAACTCTCACAGGTGTGAATTTCCCTTCCTAGGGGTCGATTTCCTCTCATTCCTATTGTCTCTCTCAGAATGTAAACCTGATGTCTGTAACTGTCCCTATGTGACGTCAGACGCAAAACTGGAAGGAGCAGCGTGGCCATCTTTGATGTGGTTTCTTGCATTAGGATGGACGGTTTACCGTTTTTATATGTAAGCAGATATTAAATTTTGAATTTTCATTCATTTACTCCACTAAGTCTTCTCTGCCCTGTGGGGAGTGGAGAGGATTCCACTGTGCATTCCCGTTAGAGGAAAGCTATCTAGCATTTGGGATTATTTGAAACGCCTGTGCAAGCTGGGTAATAGTATATTATCCTAGCAGAGTGGTGGCACCAATTTGGACTAGTGCACCTTATCACTAGTTGTATGCTTGGATTTGCTGTGATTTCACCTGTTGGAGTGATTAATTCACTATATCACAAGTTGAATTGTTGTGAATTTTATCAACCTCACGTGTGGGGTATGTAGGTGGGTTCACCTCATACACATGGTTCACAATATTGTATAATTTGGGATATATTTATAATTTTTGCTTTAATTTTTTTTTTTATTTATATATTTATATTCTAATTTTTCCTTTTTTTTATTTATTTATTTTTTATTTTCCCGAGTGGTTGTGCATGACATCACTGATTATTATATTATTTGAAAGATAATGCACTATATTGAGTTTAAATTTTTTTGAGGTATCTTGGATTGAAGTGGCGAATTGGATACTTATCACATCTGGAAGATTGAATAGTGTGGACATTTTGAGGACTTTGTATTGTGAAATTTTTTTTTTTTTTATTTATTTTGGAAATTTGGGGTAAAGAATTTGAGTTTGGGGAAAGATTGTTGAAAAGGTTAATGATATCTAAACTTAAAATGAAACCTTGAGATGGATAAAAGGAGAACAGCCTACCTGCCTATGGCTTACCTCTTCATCCAGATGTTGCCATAATTTACCAGTCTATCCTCTCCTTTTACCCTTTCTCAGTAATCTGGTGCTCCTGGAACACTGCTGCTAGTGATGATGGGACACCCTTCCTACTGCTTCTTACGCACAAAAAGTGATATTAAAACATATTAGCACTAAGATGTTTCTCACAGCCACCAATCAAATTTAGTTTTGGTTTGATTAATTTTTTAGGTTGGAAATTACATTTTCAGAGTTTCGGATGTATCCAAATTTCTGAATGGACGTAGAAACTAATGGCAATGAATCCAAAAAAAAGTTATAACGAATGCATTAGTTTCATTCTAATAATGTCACATGATGCATTAGTAGTTCCCATGGGAGAATGAATTCAATTTTCAAATTTGTTCGATGACATAACAAATGATCTGCATACATTGTGAATAGCTGGTTTTAAGGAGCGGGCGGCCATCACGTCCTTAACAACTATGACTCATCTGCTGTCAACAAGATTCCCCACTGACCACAGAATGTAAAAACAAACAACTGGCATTAACAAAATGAAAAACAGTATGGGGGGGATTCCCCCCCAATCCCCTTTCTGGTGTCTGTATTGGCCTGGTATTGAATTTGAGGGAAACCCCATGCCACGATTTTAAATAACGGTATGGGTTCCACAGCAAAATCTACACCAGGCCCTTTGGTCTGGTATTGATTTTAAGGGGAACCCCATGCCAAAATTAGAAAAAACATGGCATGGGTTCCACCCCAAAATCTGTACCAGACCCTTATCTGAGCATGCAGGCCAGGAAAGGGGGTATGAGCAAGCACTCCCTCCTCCTCTTGAACACTCCACATGCCCTCAAAATGAGCCCCCCCCCAAAACACTTTGTCCCCATGTTGATAAGAACAAGAGCCTCTTACCCACAACCCTGACCCAGAGGCCGTGAGGGTGCAGGGAGTGACGTATTGCAATCTGGAAGCCCCTTTAACAAGGAAGCCCCCAGATCCCAGCCCCCCTCCCTTTGTGAATGAGTAGGGGCTCATAGTACCCCTACTCATTCACCCAAAAAATTCAAAAGTATATAAAAACACAAAGTCAGTTTTTTACATGTTCCCTGATCACATATATCATGCTGGAATATGACTGGTCCCATCCAGGGAAAGTGGCAGTATGACAGGTAAACATGGGGGCATAGTCACCTGGTGACATCACTACTGATCATGCCCCCATGATTACCTGTCATTCGGCAAGTTTCTCTCGAAGGGAAACTCTCTCCGAATGACAGGTAAACAAGGGGGCAGTGTCACCAAGTGATGTCACCAGGAGACCGCGTTCCCATGTTTACCTGTCATTCGAGTGTCGAGAAAGGGGCTTTTCTTTTTTTTTTTTCGTGCAGGTCTGTGTTCATCATAATTGACTCTGGATTTACATCGGGGGACTTCTTTTTAAATAAAGACATAGCCTATAAAAAAAGAAAAAAAAACGTGGAGTTGGGCTTTAGGGGGAAGTGAGTGAATTTTCTGATCTTATGTCTGTGGGGAGATGGACAGCATAAGCTGGTTGATTACAGTTTTTGGAAATGCTTGAATAATTTTTGAACACAAGTATCGCCAAAAATGAGTGAGGGGACCTGAATGCAGAAATATTTTTATATAGATGCATAAAAAGGTATAATTATTTTGTATTTTGGCCTTCAACAGTCAACTATTACCAGTTTATGGCACACTTTCAGCAGAAAGTTCCCAAATATGCTTTTTTTTCTTTCCTAGCTATACCTCTAGGCTTGGTTTACAGGTCTATATGAAAAAGAAAACATTTTAACTACCTAAATATGTTTATTAATGTTAAAGCTGAACTTTAGCAAACTTGAAAATACTGCTTGTTTTGGTCTATGGGGCATGGAAAAGTAGATTTACTTTCCCCAATCTTCACTCCTCCGTGCTGCTAGACCAGTTCACTCTATAAATGATTGCTCCATACTGTTTAAAAAAACTAGTATGAAGGAAATGTAGTTATGTTGCCTATAGCAGTTAATCAGATATTTGCTTTTGTTTTTTATTTCCAGAAACATGACCAAATGGAAACTGACTGCTGTGCGAAGCACAACGTTAAACAAAATTAAGAACGGTGTATCCCTTATGTGGATAGTAAGCCAAAATCCTGATTGCTTTAGAGATTCAGGAGGTTAGCTGTCTTCATATATGTTTGTCATGCCCAGTTGCACAAAAATTTTTGAAGGCATTCTTTTTGCTATTCTAGAAGCTTTTAAGAATGAGCCACTACGCGCCTTGAGCCAGAGAGAAAACAAACTTATGAACAGAATGCTAGTTGCAGCTTGAATGAACCTGGCTTGGAATAGGTCTTGTGATGCTGGCTGCTGTTTTAGTTGAAATTCAAATTTTTAAAAAGAGTTCTGCACTATTTTCGCCGATCTCAGGTGCGATTTACATTGACATCTGAGCTTACTCCTATTTTTTTTTTCTTTTCTTAGATTCATTATTCTTATTAACCAATTACCATTCAAATTGGTGCGACTCCGGCTCTGTCATAGTCGCACTGATTTTTAAAAACAGTTCCTGCACTATTTTCGCCGATCTCAGGTGCGACTTTGCAATGTGAATGGATGCATGCACAGATGTCAATGTAAGTCTCACCTGAGATCGGTGAAAATAGTGCAGGAGCTGTTTTTAAAAATCGGTGCGACTATGACAGAGTCGGAGTCGCACCAATTTGAATGGTAATTGGTTAATAAGAATAATGAATCAAAGAAAAAAAAAAATAGGAGTAAGCTCAGATGTGTAAGTCGCACCTGAGATCGGCGAAAATAGTGCAGAACTCTTTTTAAAAATTTTAATTTCAACTAAAACAGCAGCCAGCATCACCAGACCTAGAAGCCGGATTCAAGCTGCAACTAGCACTGTTCAATTTGAATGGTTCCATTGCAAACCATAGGGTGACTTGTCATGTGATTTGGAACCTCCAAATTGCATGACGAGTTGTGCCGGTGTGAACCCGGAGCTTACTCCTGTTTTTTTTTTTTTTTTTTTCTTTTCTTTTCTCATTGTTCATTATTCTTATTAACCAATTACCTTTAATAGCGTGCACAGTGAGCAATTGAAAGATGATGTCAT